AAAAACATTCATTAGTAAAATCGATTCAGCTGTTCTCAAGATTTGTGCTAAGCGAAACACTAATAAATTTATAAATTACCAATTTTTACTCGCATCATTTGACATCCTACACCATCCTAACTAGCTACCTACCCTACACTACCTATCCTGCCCTAACTACCTTAATGCATGAATAGATATAGAATTTTAGTAATAATTCTAAAACAAACCGTAATATCTTACCTTCAGTTGCTATTGTACATGTGAAAAGCATACATATTTTATCTATAAAATATTAGTAATCAACAGAAAAAAAAAGTACTAGGACAACATGAGTCTAATGACAATTAAATGCTACGCTTCGCTACAATCGCTACGATGTGCTACACGGTTTGCTACGATTTGCTACGACGATTTGGCTACGCTCTGTTGATTACTACGCATTGAACCCAACTGCACATAACTGCATGTAACTTTGCTCCAATAAACAACTGTGATATCACGTTTACTACTTGTGTAGTGTAAACAAGAGCAGTTATTACAATATTGATAATAAAAGACAAGTTTGGTGTCAAATACAGGCAATTTAAAAAACACTTCGTTTTTCGATTTGGGCAACGCGACTACGAACGAGATTTTCTTCTTCTTCTTCTCTTTGCAGCGGATGTTTGTACACACCCAACCCTTAAAATAACAATTTGCGGATCAAACAAATAGTTGTACGGAGCAGAAATTGAGCTCCAAGTCTCCAAAAGCCTAAAGCCGGCAATGTACTTGTAACTAGTAATCCTAGTGCTACGGATGTCCATGGGCGGCGCCGATTGCATCCCATCAAGTAATCAGTCTGCTAGTTTGCCGTCTTATTGTATATAAAAAAAGAAGCAGATGATGCAAATGAATTCATATTATGAAGCAAAAAAAAAAACGTTTGTCCAATAAAAGACTACATACTAGGGAAGGCGAAGATACATAAATTCCTGCAAAGAAAAGCATCCCTGCATATACCAATATCCCTTGCTAAGCATTTAATAAAGTATATATTATATATAGGTACAAAAACATGTCCATAACACAGGCTAAATTATACGTGACGAGGGTTCGACGCCCGACTCGTAACGTATCTTGTTTTGTATATAAATAACAAAAGATTGCGATATCTCGTGGCTTGGGTTTGTATAAAAAGCACACTTCGCGGCTTCGCACGGGTGCAATGCTGATACTAAATTGTTCCACTATTTCTATTTAAATAACACTATCTGTTGAAAAAAGCCGCAGCAAAATCGTTTGCGTAGTTTTTAAGATTTAAGTGATATAGGGTTTTTTTATGTAATATATCGGCAAACGATCAGCGTTGCCCACGGACACCCGAAACGGAGGAGTTACGAGGGCTTTTAGGGATTAGGGATTTGGAGATTTAGGGACTGGGGAGGGATTGGTGAAGGGGAAGGATTGGGCCTCCGATAACCTAACTCACATGGCGAAAATCAACGCTGTGGTTGTTTCACACCGGTTTTCTGTGAGGCCGTGGTATCGCTCCGGTCGTGCCGACCCATTCGTGCCGAAGAATGGCTCTGCCACACTTATATATATTGAAAACGACTTTTTATATGTTTTAAAGGAACTATGTAGTGATAAAAATACATTACGCATTTGGATTCACGAATGAGGAAGGAAAAGATTGTTTTACACCTTCTACAGTGTAACACCAACTTTTAATGTTGACTAGACCCTCGCGTTTTCACCCGATACTTAACTATTATTTGTCGTATCATGATGCTATATTCTATAGCATACATATTGTTATATATAAGTGAAATATCCGACCCAAAAATAATTAATTGCCTTCATCAATTAATTATTTTTGACCAGCGCGTTCAAACAAACAATCAAACTTTTTAGCTTTTCTTATCTTGTAAAGATACCTATAGATGAGCTGTGTTCGGTGCTTTTTTTTTAAATAACACTTAGTCGTTAAAAACTTTGTTGTCGACCACTAAAACCGTATGGTGTGCGATCCTCCGATCATGGTGTCTAAATAATATGATAAATGAAACTGTTGTATGTATTCGTATGTATGTGTATGTTATTTCATGTTATGCAAATGTTAAGTCGAGAGCGCGCATAGCTTAGGCGAGATTGTCGCATTCTGTGTTATGTTTATTATTGTATTTCGTATTTTGTTTGTGCAAATTAGACATGGTGTAACATTTGGATTGAGCAGTCTTAGTAGTGAAGAATAATTCTTCTTTTGCACGAAGATTTTCGGAACCTGACTAGCTTTTCGAGTTCTACACACGTACTCTCTTAAATTATTTAGCCACTTCTCACAATCGGTGAAGGAAAACATTGTGAAGAAATGTGAAATTTCTATTTATACATAAGTTTAAAATGGCTGATCTGACTTGAGCAAGCCTTGCGCTATATACTTAAACCTTCTTCGTACAAGAAGAGGCATTTGCTCAGCAGTGAGTTCTTCCGAGTAGTAGTGACTCGAATATTAAGGCGCCCGCTTCTCATGTATGAGGGTGCGAGTTTGAACCCTGGCACTTGCCAGGGTTCAAACTAAGTAAAGTTTCATGGGTACTTACCCATGAAACTTTTTCCGAGTATTTTCTATGATTATTTATACATCACTGACATGAGATAAAGGAAAACATCGAGAGGAAACCTAGATAAATAATTTCTAATTATGAGTTTGAAATCACCAATTCACTTTGAGCAAGGGTGGTGCAAAATGCTCAAATTCTCTCCGTGCGAGAAAAGACATTTGGTCTAGAATGGGGTTCTTATAGGGTGTTCTTTTGAACAACAATTGATATGCATTTCAGCAATTATTGGTGTAAATAATATTTAGTTCAATTTAATATACCTACGTTTCATTTATTGAGCTAAATGCAGTGTCCCCAGTGCCCGCTTGGATTCGTCGTGTTTATTATTTCAACGTCATCAGTATTTTATTGATTTAGTATTCACTGATATTGTTCAACAGAATGACTATTTATTAGTGACCATCGGCACGCCTCAGCTGCGCTTGGGTGCTATTTTCCAGTATTGCTGGTGAATAATGTTTTTTGTTAAAATATATTTCACTAGCTTTTGCCCGCGACTGCGTTCGCGTAGAATAGTGACTACCTGCAGATTTTTAGTATAAAAACTGTCCTATGTATTTTTCGAGTTCAAAACTATGTCTGTACCAAATTTAATAGAAGTAGGTTCAGTAGTTCAGTCGTGAAGAAAAGACAGACAGACAGATAGAGTTACTTTCGCATTTATTATATTAGTTTGGATCTACGTATATTAATATTATTCCTTCATACAAACAAAAAGAAAATTCATATATCACAAACTGTTTTAATTATAATAAAAGACTTATAAGTAGTCAAGTTCAAATGAGCCACATACCCATAACCTGATGGTGAGCAATCATCAGCAGCAATGGCGGGTCACCGCGGCCTCGGCCCAGAGAAAGATAAGGAACGGGGGGTTTTTAGTCAATAAGAGTCTGAAACTCCCTACCGCCCGACCTTGGGCGACTTACGACCAGAGATTGACTTCTTATGCCCGGTTCCTATATTTAACGAATCGTCGTTGTACACGCATTACGACCAAATGACATTACGAATAGTTATCTTAACCGTCCACTGACGGTTAAAATATTTATAGGAAAACCACAGACACCATAGATCTCCATACAATTCGCTTACCGATATCCGTTAGTTGCAAACCGTCAGTAAGTTGCACGACGAGACGTTTGTTATAGGAACGGTTTTAGCTTACGAGTCGTATATTAGTCAATTGATGATTATCACCTCACAAAAAAACAAAGGAATCATTAGTGCAGACCTTTTAATAAACAAATAAATAAGGAGAAATAATTCACAGAAGATCTGTGTTGTCTAACTGTTGATGATGAAATAGAACTAATGAAACTAACGGCATACTGTGAATGCACTATTAGTAGTACACTAATTCCAACTGCAATAAAAAGTGAAACTTTATGCTCTCCCTATAAAGTTTCTTTCTGCCTAAGACATTAGATTTAAGAATGGAGAAGTAGGTAGTAAACACAAAATGCCCAGCATAATAAGACCTCATTAGGTTAGGCACAGAACCTGAAGTTTCTCAAATAATAACAGGAGAAAGGTCAATATATGTTGGTCGTATATATTTTACGTATAATTACTAGAGACGTACGATGGGAGCTAGCTAGAGGATTCTGAGGTACTAGGCTATGTGGAGTTAATAAATGAATGGTCTAATTCGAAGGCGAAGCGTTTCTAACATTAAAATGAACGTAAAGAAACGTCGATAAGTTTGGCAGCTAAAATATTTTATAAATAAGTTAAGGGATACTCACTGGAGTGTATGCAATTTTTGTGATCCACAAATTGTTGTTCTGGACCTGGGTGTGGTGTGTATGTGAAATTGTATGTTCGACACAAAAGAAAATACAAGTGTAAAGCAACGCTTTAAAAAAATCAATAGAAAACTTCGCGGTGTGAGGAAAGGCATTTTAGCAATGGTTACTTATCAGGGATACGACATGACAGTTGCGACCAACAACTTACCGTAAAGTAATATGTAAGCAAGTTTGCCGACCTCTCACATAAAAACGAACCCATTAATCATCAGATTTTCTTATAGAAAATGGAGGCAAAAGATCAGACGGGTTACCTGGCGGTAAGTACTCATGGACACCTTCAACTCCAAAGGAGTCACATACGCGTTTCTTGAATGTTTGAAGGTCGTATCGGTTTGTAAATACCGCCGCCGAAACATCATTCCAAATGATTTGCTATGCGAGGCAGAAAGTTTCGGAAAAATCGCACAGTTGTTGACTACCAGCCGTGTATATGATGAAGATGAAAATGTCATAGCATGGGTCGGTGAATCGATGGCGAAAAATGTTCACTTTTACATTATTTCACTTACACAGTACAATATAGTTACGTGGTTCAGTCATGACACTGGTTATGCTAGACAAAAATGTTTTTTTTTTTTATGTAATTGGTATCGGCCAGGTACGGTACGGTACCAGGGCAGCAGAAACTCGGCATACGAGCAGAGAGATTACCTGATGGTAAGCAATCAACGCCGCCCATGGACACCCGCTGCGGAGGAGTTACGAGTGCGTTTCCGACTTTTTAGCGATTAGAAACGGGGAAGGGGTAGGATTGGGTCTCCGGTAACCTCACTCACACGGCGAAACACAACGCTGTGGTTGTTTCACGCCGGTTTTCTGTGAGGCCGTGGTGTCACTCCGGTCGAGCCGAAGCATGGCTCTCCCACACTTAATCTATTGCACTAACACAATCAAAAAATATGTTTGTCATTTGGAAAAACCTCTCAACCCTTGCACCTTACACCGGCCACCTAAGAATATCTTCATTAAGCCAAGGAGAGGTACTATAACCCGCGTTATCACGGTTAATTTCAGGCTCTAATGAAAAGTTTCACGACTCCAAGTTTTGATGAGGTTCCTTCTTGAGAGGATAACGTTATGATTATCTTAATTAACCATTTCAAATATTATCTTCATGCGATGTGATAATTTATGTTAATAGCTAAGTGTTTTGGTAGTAATTCTTTTGAGCAATTACATTAAATCATTTTGCGGAAAAAATATAATTAAGGTTATCTTTGTCTAGACTAGATTAAATATAATGATATTTCTAAACTGATTATGACAGACCACACTGTGTATATGTGTATTGACTATGTGCTGTAATATATGAGAATTTTGGAGAACCAGGATAAAGAAAAAGAAGAAAACACTGCGGGCGTCAGGGATTGTGCGACCTGAAACAGACCCGACAATACGGCGTGTCGCGTTCCACGCCCGTCTTTGACAGATAACTACAGATGCGACCCACTAGGACCGATGTTCAGGGGTGGTTTTTAGACAGTGACAGTCTGAACACTTGTTCCCCGCTAGTCTGCAAATCATTAAATGATTTTGATAATAAGGCTGCATTGAATTTATTTACTGATAATTTAACCATCCTTGAATTTGCACCTGCAACTCTGGGTGATATAATTACGTATACCCATATTAAAGTTTGATCCAATGTAAGTTTTCCACAATTGTAAGCATACATTAACGTATAGTATACCTATATTTGTAAACCTTATTTCATGCAAATTAAATTTTGAGATAGATCGATGGTAGTATAAGTTTAAACTTAGTGGTTTTTGATTTTAGCATATTTTATTTTGATCCAATGTAATCAATAGTAGTTAAATTAAAATTTATGCTAATTATATTGTATGATAATAAATAAAATTGTTTGATGGATCATTTAGTGAGAAGTGCATTTATTACTTTAGTATTGCTGTCATGTATATTTCTTGGAATTTATATTTTATAATGTCATATACCGCTGTTTTTTGTCTTTAATGAGAAATCGAGACAAGACATCACTAACAAAATTAGGTACGTAAAACTGTATTTTCTGAACGATAAAGACGTGCTACTTAGTTTTAAAAAACAACAAACACCTTTTTGTTTTAAAATTGTTATACTAAAATTTCATCAACTATTTTAAATTCTTTTTTTTTTACAAACATTTTTCAGTCTAATTTATCATTACGGTACCAGGGCAGCAGAAACTAGACGTAGGTGATTCGAAGTTATATTTTTTGGGTCACTCTAACGTCGAGATTAGGGCCTGAAGTGAGGTTGGGGCACTTTAGATAATTCACTTTAACATACTTCACTGTAAGTAGGGTTTAAGTAGTGGCTTTTTGTACTGGTTAAAAACTAAATATTTTTTATTTTATTTTTCAAGGGTTTTCAAGCTGAAATGTCTACATACATTTGAGTGTGGGAGAGCTATGCTTTGGCACGAATGAATCAGCTTAACCGGAGTGATATCACAGCGTCAGATAAAAACGGCGTGAAACAATCACAGCGTTGTGTTTCGCCGTGTGAGTGAGGTTACCGGTGACTAAAACCTTTCCTCTCCCCCATTCCTCCCTTATCCCTAAATCTCCAAAATTTTACTCCCTAAAAGGCTGGCAACGCACTAGAAACTCCTGTGTTGTTGTGGGTGTATATGGACGGCACCCGTTGCTTACAACCAGGTACTCCATATGCTTATTTGCCTGCCCAATACATAAAAAAAAATTTATGTTGACGTCAAAACTATATTGATACAGCAATAATTAAAAATAGAATAATTTTATGGAAAAACTACTTCTCAAAAAGATTTCGCTTATAAAATACCTTATCGAAACGTAAGTAACTGGTGAATTATCATTTTAATGTTAAAATAATCTTTTTGCTTAAGAGTCTTTTTAATTAAAACTTTTACCTATTAAAAAAGATACTGTTTGATCTTAATGTTATTAAGAACTTGGCGATAGCTTTTTAATCTTTTTAGAATTAATTTGGGAATAGCTTTGAAATCTTTTTTAGAATTAATTTATTATAGATATTTTTAGAATTAATTTAGATAATTTTTGGAATTATCTACTTAACCAGTAATTGAATATGAGTCATGTGTTTTTTAATTATATTTAATACAATTTTCTGAGAATAGGCTTCCTACTCCTTGCGCCAACACCTATGGCGAACAAATATCGCTTATATTGTACCCAAACTTATTACCCTCCAGACCCGAGGGTACGGCGCGTATTGTTCCGCGTGCGCCTCAAAGAGCCAATAGACCACCACAGACGGGGCCCCATAGGGCTGATGTTCAGCCGGGGTTGCGGGGTAAGCGCAATGAGGCACCGTGACCTCGGCCCAGAGCAGGAGAAGGAACAGGGGGGTTTTTAGTCAGTAAGAGTCTGACACTCTCTCCCGCCCGACCCTGGACAGGAGAAGTCATTTGATGATTTTCCCCTCACAAAAAAAAACCCTCAGAAATAAAAATATTTTTCCGCGAAAGAACATAAAATGTAAACTTAAGCAATACTACCTATTATATAAGTATTATTAAGGAATGTTTTAGTCTATGCAGGGACCGTTTATCTTAAGGTTTTCATAATTGTTAGCATACATTAACGTATAGTTTATTTGTGACACCTCATTTTATGCAAATTAAATTTTGATATAGATTGATGATAGTATAAGTTTAAACCTTAGTGGTTTTTTGTTGCTATTTTAAGTGTCAGTCCTGTGTTTACTGTTAATAATATGATAAAATAATAAAAAAAATGTTTCAATTGCGAAATATGATAACTATCTATATTTTTTTTAGTATTTGTGATTTTGTGGAGATATCATTGTTTCTTTTGCTCTTCATTATTTATTGAAGATTTGTATTGTATTTGTAATATGTTTTTAGTGTCTTTCTTTGTCTTTGATTAACGTATATTTTTTAAAGGTTCTGTATTGATGGCGTTATTTTGAGGTGTTACTACTACTCGATGTTATCGTTAGTAAGACGAGCGAAAAAAGCAAGAGCCAGCCGAGGGTAGTGGGGATAGATAGATAGGGATAGAAAGGGATTGTGGACAGGAGACGGAGTTGTAAGTGCAAGTCCAATGGTGTACCGCAGTCCAGCTCGGAGCAGAAGAGGAAAAGAAGAGTAGGAGTCCTACCAAGCGCGGGAGAACTGGATCATTTCCCAATCATAAAAGGTAAGGTAAAATTTTTGCTTTCAAATCAAGTTTTCATACCAAAATAAATTTTGTTACTTGATTAACACTTAATAAACATTATGAATGGTCATTCGAAAACTTCATATTCTAAATTGTCAACCAAGGCAAGCCTTGTGTATACCGCTATTAAATTAACCTGATTTAAACACAAAGTACATTAGACATACATTTTCAAAACAATAGCCTGAGTCTATCTTTGTCCCTTTATCATAGAGATAAGGTCAGGCCGATGTACTAAAGCTTTTAAACGCTACAGATTATACCACCGTTTGTGACCTCCGTTATGGACCTTTGTAATTTAAATTTAGTTTTGTTTAGTGATTAACTAGGATTTTGGCCAGTTCTACTTATGTATATGCTTTGTTCCTAAGTAGGGTTGTGTTAAAGCTATTTTCTATGTGCATAAAAAGGAATCCTAATTGTTCTTCGTTTTGGCACCACGCTTAAATTGCTAGAACCAATTCCGATAATTGTTTTTATTTCACATGTTTGTTATTAAGATTTTGATGAACGAAAATGTTAGAAAGCGGAGAAATGAATTGGGAAATTGCATTTTTACCCGACTGCCAAAGAAGGAGGGTAATGTTTTTCGAGTGTATGTAAGTATGTATGTATGTCTTTTCCTTTGTGACCTCCTGTAGCCTAAACGGCTTGATGGATTTTGATGTATGAGGTATCGTTAGATTTGTCTTGATTACGGGAGTGTCATAGGATACATTTTATCCTAAAAGTCCCACGGGATAAAGACATAATAATATTTTTTCTAAATTTCCCTTTAAAAAATGTCGTCGAAATAATTTAAAATGGTACTTACATACACATAGTCTTCTACATCTACAACATTTTCGTTAAATAAAAACAGCTAAAAAGCTATAAATAAAAAAATTATTATTAAAAAAACAAAATACCCGACTGCACACTAAAAAAAGAGTAAAACAAGCCCCATAATACAAATTTACTGAATATAATTTATAAATGTTGATGGAAAGCATCGCAGACGGGGACCACCTTGACCGCCACCAACGAAAATTCTGCTAAATGGTGCACAACAGAAATGACTATAAATAAGCCTCTGTTGGTCCCCGCCTGCGATGCTTTCCATCAACATTTATAAATTATATTCAGTAAATTTGTATTATGGGGCTTGTTTTACTCTTTTTTTAGTGTGCAGTCGGGTATTTTGTTTTTTTAATAATAATTTTTTTATTTTCCCTTTTGATTTAGTCACTGCCTAGTTCGATAACAAAAAAAATAGTAAGACCAAGGTTATTTGAATATAAGGACACTAGTGCGCAACAGAGGCTGAGGGTGAGACTGAGGCAACTGAACTGAGGCAGAGACTGCTAGTAGCACATTATTCTATAACTAGAATAAAAGTTGCTGAGATTTATACGAGTTGATTCATTCGTTATTTCTCTTTATTTATTTATCATTGACAAATATCAAAGTATCATGCAAGTACAGTAAAAAAAAGCTAGGTGTCCAAATAGAAAGGCAGAATTTTCATATTCACTTTTTTCTTTCATCACGCAAATATAGCCTCGTTTGGCAGCTAATCCGTAAATAATTATATCTTGGATTAAGATTAATAAACCAATTTCAGTAACTCAAGAACTTCAATTAATGTAATTACGATAAATAATTTTAAGGCAACCAACAAGATAATAATATAATATAATTAGTTAGCGAGATAGCTTTTTGACGTAATAACATAATAATTTATACCATAACTATACAACTTCGTAGAAAATTCGACTACGTAGGCATGTACCACGTTAGCTCATCAATTTAAATTTATTTACAGCTAACAGAAAACTTAATTAAGTGAACCTAATTAAAATTGTTAATTTACGCGCGTATTTCGACGCGCAAGTTATTAAAGCGAAATGCAAAAATAGCGTTTAAACTATCTTGTATTTTAAACGCCATTTTTGTGGATGGATTTTTGTTAGTCTTCATACGTTTAACTACTAAACGGATTGCTGATGACAATCCGGATGAAATTCGGTACAGAGATAGCTTTTAGTCTGGAATAACACATAGGCTACATGTCACTAGTAACTTGTTTGAAATAAAACTGGCAAGTACTTAAGTTTCGAACTTAATCATACCACGGACTCATAGAAAAAGAAAACCGGCGTCAAACAATCACAGCGTTGTGTTTCGCCGTGTGAGTGAGATTACCGGAGGCCTAATCCTTCCCCTCCCCCAATCCCTCCTCAATCCCTAAATCTCCAAATCCCTAATCCTAATCCTAAAAGGTCGGCAACGCACTCGTAACTCCTCCGTTGCGAGTGTCCATGGGCGGCGCTGATTGCTTACCATCAGGTAATCCGTCTGCTCGTTTGCCGACCTATTAAATAATAAAAAAAAAAAGAGAAAGAAGGATTGGGCCTCACATACTAAAGTATTTTTTTGATACAATAGAATTTGTTGGTGTTTCAGCCTGGGTTGCGGGTCATGAGCGATAATGTACCGCTGCCCTAGCCTAGTTTTAAAATAAGAATTAACAGGGTTTTTTCGTCAGTTAGGGTCTGACAGTCAGAAGTTATTGGGTAATAAATAAACACTCCAAAACATGCTGTCACTTCACGGCCTAAAGAATCTCATAATGATTAATATTATATAACTCACACAATCTAGTATTTACTACCTCTGCGATGAAAAACAATAACAAATTGTATTGTCTTTATGTTTGTGCGGACGATTAAACCGAGGGTTTTGGGTAAAAGGTAAACCCACCAAAAACATTTTGAAAAAAACCAGCCAAGTCTCGATGGAGCTGCTAATTTGTCTCTAAATAGTAAGTTATTATTGTTTTTTTTTAAAAAAAAACGTTTTCCCACTCTAGGATTTTCTCCTGTGTCGTGGGTGCGTTTACAAACATTCAATTTCACATACACATAACACCCAGACCCGAAACAACAATTTGTGGCCATCTCCCGCACCAACCGTGCAGTCAATGTTTTGTTGTGTGACTTGGCCGAAACTCTGAACCAAATTTCAACATTCTGAGATTATGGGAAGTACTAGTATCATGAGTGAGTGGGACTTGAAATTTTGGATTTTAAGATTGTGATTATAGCTTACTAGATCACGGAATTTCTGCCTTCTAATTAATCTTATCCAGAGCTTCTCAAATAGGGGCCTGAAAATGCGGCGAAATGGTTCCGGTAATGGATGGTACAGCAGAATTTGCTTCGCGCTCGACTTGGCGGGGCTCTACCGTGCCCCCAGATCAAAGTCGTCGGTCGTTTCAAATGGGGTGCGGTGGATCGCGAAACCTTTTATTAACTCCTTTTAGGTCTTTTTATGGGTGAAATTGTAATTTTAGAATACCCAATCTCATAACGTTTTTTTTTGTGAATGCATGTGTGTATATGTTATTGATGTGTGAGTATTCTTTTTTCATTTTGTGTGTGTGAAATATTGCTGGTAGATATGTGAAATAAATACAAACGTACAGAAATGACATCCCGCCCTTTAGTCTCCATGGCGAAGCAAAACTGCACATTACTTAACACAATAGTCTTTGTTTTTCTGAAATATAAAACAAAACCCTTGATTGATACTTTTTCCTTCTGGCATTCCTTTCCTTAAAGTAAAGTTTTGACCCTATAATTTCTTAGTAGTCATATAACAAGATCACATTTTTAATAATATTGACTACTTGAGAAAGAATAAGGCAATGTAGTATAAGGTTCTCCTCCAGACAGTGGCCGCTTTATTTTGGATTAAAAAATCATTTTTAGTAAATAAAAACAAATTATTATGGTATAATGTTTTGTAAGTGCTCGCATAATGTAAAACACCCACTTAATTTTTTTTTATTTGTTGTGATATCCAAACTAATATTATAAAGTTGACAGTAACTCTGTCTGTCTTTTTATTCTTTACGCCTAAACTACTCAACCTATTTGTATAAAATTTGGTACAAACATAGTTTGGAACTCGAGAAAGGACATAGGATAGTTTTTAAACCAAAAATCTGCAGGAAGTCACTATTCCACGCGAACAAAGTCACGGGCAAAAGCTAGTAAAATATAACTATTTGAAGATTATATTTGAATCAATTGTTAAACAAGCACCAAGTCCCGCCGACGAACAACAAAAACTGTTTATTTGCAGTTTGATAAGTTTATAAAATGTAAAATTATGTTAGTACACATAAAGGATTATTTACTTGTACTTACTTTACACACTTGTCTTGAAATAGAAACCGAAAATAAAATCATTCTTTCATCCAATCAAAGCCACAATAACTGCAAGATCCCGGTAACACAATTCCACAATCCTTGAGCGTTCAAAGTTCTTATCAGATGGCAAGTTGGAACTAAGTTTAAACTAAGTTAGGCCCGTAATCTAACTTAATGAAATTAGCGGGAAGTTTTAGCTGAGATAACACATATTGTATGTTTCATTACGATAACTTTGAAGGGTAGGCAGAATTTCAAGTACTTAGTTTGCTGTAGATAAGTTAAAGTTATGATGCTTTGCATAATGTTAGTCGTTGGATGTAATTACTATTGATAATTAATTTTACCGTATGTTATATTTAATTAAGGCTGTGATAATTGTAATTATTTTTATTTTATTTATTTCTTCTTCATACAAAACAGTGTGAATGGCGGACTTAATGCCTTAAGGCATTCTCTAACAGTCAACCATAGGGCAGTGCAGAGAATTCTTGCGGTTGGTGCGAAGCAAGGACACAGAGTCCTAGAACAGGATGAAAGGGGAAAGAAAAAGACAATTGTTTTGTGTCTGCCAATCCTTAAATAAATGCTCGTGGACTTTTAACTTGAACGAGTAGCGATTTGTTGCCATTCTGATTTCCTTCGGAAGTGCATTCCATAGAAGAACAGCTTGAATGAAGAAAGAAGAATGGAAGAAGTCAGTGCGATGGGTGAGACACTGAAGGTGTCGATTGTGGGAAGACCGAAGAAATTTGGATTACTACTGTACTAATTACTGTTGTCAAATGAATCGATTCTTTTGCTATACAAATGTGTTACACACATAGCTTTTTTCTTTTTTTTTGTCTAGGTAGAACGAAATAGAGTGTGAGACTCTTACTGACTAAAAACCATTCCGTTCCTTCACCTTCTTAGGCCAGAGCCGCGATTCTTTATTGCGCTTGCAGCTGGCGTTACGTCGCAGGTGGAACTGGTCGGCTGTTGTACAGCGGATTCCCGCACGGAACAGCTTTTTGTGGGACCTACAAATTGTTGTTTCATGTCTGATGTGCATGTGAAAATTTTAGTTATAAAAAAACAAATTAACGAACAGAAGAAAATGTTATTGTGGGTCAATAATGTATAGGGTACGCCGCTGGTTCCAAGTTTTCAAAAATCGTCGAGGCGTTTCCATAAGCATATGTGCAAATCCGTGCCCATTATTTTCCTTATTGGATAAACATCTTAAACAAACGAACTGATATTATATTATACATCATTGAAACAAACACAAAACCTTGGATCTCCAAAAACACATACAAACACGACCCAACATAATGTCATAAATAACAACAATACACCATAAAATGCGGTGTAAACACCGTATCGAGTGCTTCAGGATATTACTTCATAAATCCACTCATTCCTATATGTCCCTTACGTGAGAATATGGCTTTATTACCGACATATGATATACTTAACTGTATAATGAAATTTCGACTTTGATTTTTCAAATCTAAGGTTGAAAATACAACACTACTAATTAAAAAACAAAATGTGTTTCAGTTTTTTTTATATCTTTTTTGTCAAATATTAGTTTTTCCCTATGACGTAGATGATTTTTAAAACATATTATTCACAAACAGTATTCTATTATATCCTATTCTATGTATATTCTTTTTTAAAAGGGGAAATTGTTTTCCGTCTGATTGTAGCGGGATTCCTATTGCCATAAGTAATCGACTCATACTGATTAAAAATCACCCGGTTTCTTCTGCTACGGGCCGAGGTTAAGGTACATCATTGCTTGAACCCACAACCCCGGCTGTATGAAGAAACATTGTGTGTGTTTTTTTTATGATACACGCACTACACAAGAGAAATTATTGATGAAAGAAAAAACAAAATTATTATTTGAAAGATGCTTACAGCGATTCAGTTTAAAGCAGAATAATTTAAAATTTTTGGAAAAATTCTCGATTCACGCTTCTTTTATCTACGCTATTTATCTTTTTTTTGCGAGGGGAAAATCATCAAATGACTTCTCCCACCCAGGGCCGGGCGCTATCTATCTGCTGTGTCGAGGTTACGTTTTCAAACAAACATAAATACACATTTATTACACGTGGACCTGTAACTACGTTTTCTGGATCACACAAAGAGTTTTTCATGCGGGTATCAAATCCGAACACGCTAAACAGCAAGCAGTTATTTAACCACTACATCAACCGAACATTCATGAAGTCTTTTATGTTAAAAAAAATAACTTCAATAGCTAACATTTTACTTAGATACTAGATCCAAAGAAACTTGTCTGTTCCATAGTTTCAAACTTTTTCTTTGCCAACAAAATTAATAAGCTTTGAACTATAAACTTGTCTGTCTTAAATGCAGTCTTTGTCTTTGACGTTCAACTGCATTTTCTTGGTACATACCCAGTTTCAATGATATTGTTTTTTAATATAATAAACTAGCTACTGTCGCGCGGTTTCACCCTATGCTCGGCTCCATTTGATCGTGGCGTGATGTTTTATCGACTATAGCACTCAGGAACATTTTAGCTACATATCAGTGAAAGAATTTTGGCAATCCGACCAGCGGTTACTACAAACTTACAAACATACCAATTTTACCTCTTTATAATATTAGTATAGACGAGTAGACGGATCACCTGATGGTAAGCGATCGGCGCCGCCTATGTGCAACACTTTTGAAGTTACTGTTAAGTGCTTAGCCGGCCATTGGGAGGAGAGGGGAGAATTGAGTCTCCAGTAACTGCACTCACACGACGAAACTTAACTCAATAGTTGTCTTACAGCAACTTCTATGGGGCTTTTATTTTTGAGGAGGTAAATCATCAAATGGCTGTCCTCAGCGAGAGGGAGTGTCGGGCTCTTACTGAATAAAATATCGCACTTGACCTACGACACCGGCTGAATATTAGCTGTTTGGCCGAATCTGTGGAGCCATGGGTTCTTTGAGGCATGGTGTGAACCATTAACCATTTAAATCAAGCAAGAAGTGACTTGTATGAGGCTTTTTTGTGAGGAAATCCAGGAATGACTACTCCTACTCAGGGTTATGTGAGATGGAGTCTTGGATTCTTAAGAGAAGAGGTTGAGTAAAACGCCTTCGTACCATCTCTACAAAATTCGACAGCAATGCCTAATTGCGCTTGCCCCGCTACCCTGGCTGAACATCAGCCCTATAGAGCCTCGTCTGTGGTGGTCTATTTACTCTTTGAGCGTTGCGTTCCGCACGCGCCATACGCTCAGAGGCCTATGAAGTTGTGGTATCGTTCTAACTCGAGCTGGCTGATCGAGCGCAGCACACGTAAACGTTGAGAGCTATACCTCAGTCTTTTAAGGTTTTGTACAGTTCATCAAATTCAATGTTTAAAATAAAACGTGTCCATTACTATTATTGTCTTTATTTTTCTCTCTCGTGTTGTATTCTACTTTTCAGTATTAACGTCGATAAAATAAGATGGATCGTGAGAAAATAAATTGGATCCTTCAGAAAATACTACTTGCTGAACACTAAAGATTCCTTTTGTTTTTCTTAGTAAATATTATGACGTAAAGTGAGTAATGGCATTTTGAAATAGATCTGGAGATGCTTTGTGTTACAAAAATGAATTTTGCTTTTTATGTAAGATACATTCGTAGTTCAAATGAATTTAAGGGCGAGCTTTATGAAAAAATGTATATAAAACCACGTGCTATTAAAACCACTACCACGTACTGTGATGACAGAGTTGAGTGAATCTCATTCATACTTTTTTCCCAAAATTAAAATCACATAACTAGGAAGTTGTCTAATACTTAACAAAGAAGATAAAGCAATAACAATAATAATTGATTGCAATCAGGAAATCGAACCATCACACTACAAATAGAAAAAAATAGATATCCACAGCACAATTGATTAGCTATTCACTAGAAACGGTCACAAACACACAAACAAAAACAAACACTTCATAAAACAAACGTTGAAAAACAATAAAAGTCCAAGCAAACAGAGTTTAAAACTAACATTGACCGATTTGAAGTTATCGATCGTGGAATCGATGGAACAAAATAATTATAAGAAACTATAGTGGGCCCACTATCATTCATAATTAAGAAGAAGAAAGTGCCGGGTGTTGTACCACTTGGTAGTTCCCATAACACAAGCCACGCCATTGGAGGATACAAATTACACGTCATCGCAGAAAATTCTCATGACAATGAATTTAAAAATCGATCATTTGCCTTCGATAACGTGTGAAAGCTACACGCGTGTCTAATATTGATAATATTTCGAAAAATGGAATCTATATTTTCGAAATCTTAAATTTTCAACATTTTCTACTTGACAAAGGATTTAACACAAACCATTCAAGGTATAGTTTAATATATTTTATTTTTTTATACAATTATGGAATTAAATATTATTGATGTTGATGATATTAAGAATCAATTCAAGAAAGCAATATTTGTTGATGATACTAATGATTGTGAAGATTGGATCATTGCAAGATTAGGCAGAGACGTAAAATTACTTTTACCTCAAATACGTAAAGTTGAATTCTAGAACATTCAAGAGCAAAGTCGAAATCATTTATTCCCACTAAACCATAAAAAAGGGACTTTTAAAAATCAAAATAAGTAGAGGTTGTCAGTCTTTTTGTCACTGAACCTTGGTGCTCTGTGAGGATAAGTAATTTACGAGCATCCGTGAAAAGAACTGAAGAAGCAAAAAGTGGAAACTGCAGTATGTCTTGTAAAACAGACTTATATAAACTTGGATGCGTCATATGAATTGATGAAAATAAAGATATTTATATAAAAGTATTTAGCACTACATCAGTTGATAATTTATATGAGAATAAAATTTCAGATGATGACCAAAGTGAAAGCCCAGGGCCTGGTCTCCGACCTGATGCCCAACATCAAGTTGATGCAGGCAGCTGGACACTTCCTCTTCAATTACCATTCAGGTAAGAATTACTATCTAGACAATCATATATTTTTCCTAAACAAAACAGCCCTAGTTGATCATATTCTAGGTTTTACAAAAGCGGCATGATTTGATCTAAAGGTACTTGAAAATGAACAGAAACGTAAATTTTGAAGAAGTATGTTTTAGCAATCACACAAAATATGATTGGTCATATATTGGTCATACATTACAATGAAGCTATAATATAGACAAGCGTGGAAGATTGTCCTTTAAATACTTAGATGAGACATAAATAATAATTATTAATGTAGATTCAGCATTCGTAGAAAATATTAAGAGTATTTTTGTTTGGATCCGTTTTACTGTCATGTCATAACAAGGTCGTAAAAAGTTACTATCGAACGGCAGCACTTGAAAATAATGTTCATCTTACCTTCGGGAGTCTTTGTCCTTAAAAACCTTCGTCAATTCTGGAAACAGGTATATTTTTAGTTGATTCTCGTTTAGTCGATTTATTTTTATAAGTCCCTAGACAATCTGTATTATCCAAACTATTACTCGTAGCGTCTGACAATGTCTTTGGTAGGTACACTTTTTCTGAAAATACAGCTTTTTTATTGTTTTAGCGAACGAATTCAGCAAATACTGATTTAGCTATTAAATAAAATAATGATTTCGGATCAATCCAAATTACACGGGACTCAAATGCATTACTCAAAACTTATTAACAATTCCGTTCATGTGGTACTAGAAAAAAGAAAGAGTATAAAAGACGAAAATATCTTTACAGTGTAACTGATCTGTACCTTTTTCCAAGTCACTTTCCTCACAAAACTCTTTATTACTTGTCTTAAAAACTTACATAATTTTATCATCTATACAGAAAATGGTGGTATGACCGGCCTTCTTCGTAAGATCTACGCGAGCACGCATGCGATCCTCATCACCATACACTTCGCCTGTATGGGTATTAACATGGCTCAGTACTCTGATGAAGTCAACGAGTTGACTGCTAACACCATCACCGTCCTTTTCTTCACTCACACTATCATCAAGTTGGGATTCTTTGCGTTGAACTCCAAGAGCTTTTACAGGTGAGTCTTCTGATTTGTGTTTTAAGGTTCCTTGACCAAACAATAAAATGGAGAGCCTATTACTGAATCTCTACTACCCGACTATCTGTTTGCTACCAGTTGTTATCTCACAAATTGTGATTGAATTAAACTGTCGCGTCGGCTGATGATGTATATACGTACTTTTGTTGCCGCTACAAAATGTAAAAACAAAATATATCCGCAAATTGGGTAGTTTCCTAGGTCAAAAATAAATTAATTTCGATGTTTAATACTATACTTTTATTCATCGATCGATCGATATACAAATTTTTAGATTTTTTTTTTACCTAATTATTAAGAAATATGTAAGCTATTTGACGCAAAAAAGTTATGACGTCATAGCTCAGTTTTTCATACTAATTTCATAGATAATTATCGTTTTTGACTTTTGGATAAAAGTATTGAATTTGACTAGTTGGAAACTACCGTATTAAGACTGTCACACAAGAAACATTTTGATACTCCGAATCTGACTCACACTCGACTTGGCTTTTGTGTATTTAATTCTTCTGTGGATCTGTAACTACTTTTGCGTCTTTTACTGTCTCGACTAGAATGATACAACATAAAAAACTGGCAAGGAACAACGCTTGCGCTAGGTTTTGCCGTGTTTGGGAGGTTACCGCTTTCCCATCCCCGATCTTCAAATTGCCAATTTAAATCTCTAAGCCAGCAAAAGCCGGCAACGCATTAGTGACACCCCTGGTGTTGCTTCTTAGCATTAGCAGGTATTATAATAACCAAACGCAACTGCGTCTCGCTGTTCTTTGTGAAATCCAATCAATTTAAAAAATATTGTTTGTCACAAGGAATACAAAAGAATTACAGTAATTTTTTTTTTTAATATAAATGTAACGGTCTGCCATTCCTATTTTTAATTATCACTTCATTCGCTAAACGACTTTTATCTTCAAACCGCTATAAAAAGAACATAATTTTTTACTGTTCTATTTTTAAAAAGTCCACTTTATTTCGTTAGAGCTCGTTTAGTTTCAGTTTATCAGTCTAATTTTTTGTTAAAATCTTTTCTTTTATAAATGTAATGCTATTTTAAACTTAAGTAAGTAAAAGATAAGAATGAAATTGTCATCTGCAATTTAAGAATATTTATATTTGAAATTGCATTACACAATCAAAACCAATTTACTTTTATTAACACACCCCTATACCAAAGCCATATCCCACCTACACGCACGAAGCGATTCGCCTCCAGTTTTATAATCCGAATCGCTAAGGAGTGAAGTTCTTTGCCGGTGTCTGCGTTTCCCGAACGGTGACCTTTTTGTCTTCAAGGCTCGAGTGAATAGGTTGCTTATGGGTAGGCATGCTACATCGTAGGTCGCATTATCGGTTACCTCTAGGTGTCATCATCATCATCAGCCTATAAGTGTCCACAGCTGAGCAAAGGCCTCTTCTCACACCGAGAAGGTTTGAGCATTAATCACCACGCTTGCTCAATGCGGGTTGGCGATTTCAAATTTATATTTAGAAATTATAAGTCCAGGTTTCCTTACGATGTTTACCTACGCCGTATATCAGTGATGTCTAAATAATCATAGAAAGATCACCACTAGGTGTGATAGCGGTCAAATACGAGATAAAAAAAAAAAAACATTTATTTAAACAACGTATTTTCTTTATAACATTAAATATGTATAATCCTCTTCAGCAAAACAGAAGCGTGGTAATGATATTATACCGGAAAAATGAACGTCACAATTGTCAATTGACCTTTCAACGGACGCACGAAGTAGCCATTTTTAATTTTAACAATCTAAAACAAAGGGAATGTTTGAAATTGGAATGATTTTAATTTAGAATTCCATTTCTCTTTTGTTACAACGGCAACAATGATTTTATGTCAATATTTATTTTGTTTTGTACTTTTATTTCTATTTTCAAATTCAAATGTTTCGTTTTGTGTTCTTTTTTATTTGACGTTGCGTGTAATGTTTTATTTGAAATGTGGGTTTTTTTATTATTTTGTTGGTTGTTGATGTGAAAATTTTTTATTAGTGATGTACTTAGTTGATTTGTTTTGTGTTATGGTTTTGAAATGAAGGCTTTCCAAATTAACGTTACTTATGTTATAATTATAATCACGTTGCCATCTAAAACTCTGTTTACTAAAACACTGTAGATACTGTATATATAATTGGTCTTTACCTATGCCGTTTGCATGAAAAAATTTAAACGAATTTTTTGAATTGAAATGCGATGAAAATGTAACACTAATCAATAAACAAATGACTACTTTTGGAAAAAGAATCCCATGTTTTTAAAACAAAATTAATTAGCCTTAGCCTAACAAAAACTATTTTGATTTGAAATGGCCAGTACTGCAGAATGGCAATTTCATAGGTACCTATTATATAGTGTCTTTCGTATTGATTATTGATTTGCGACAAAAAATAGATGGATGGAAAAATAGAGGGATGCAAAGCCATATTTAGAAGGCTATTAAATAATGTCCACTTAATTTAACCTTATTAAAAAAGTTAGTACTAGTAGGTTTCCCAAAATTATAGATCGTACAGACATTCCGACATCTACAAATATGTTTCTACTTCTGAAATCTCTGCTGTATAACATCAATAATTTCTAAGTCACTGAATTTATCGGAATAGATCACAAAGAGAATTTACTTAGGTATAATATTGTGGTGTTGCATTTAGTGGCAGAGCTCATGATCAAGGTGGATTAGGGATTTGAATTTAGAAGTTATTGTCACGGTTTCTTCAGGATGGTTTCCTTCACCGTACGTCAGACAGAAATGTCGAAATAATCTTAGAAAGAACATATAACTAGGAACAAGTCACGTCGATACTTCCCAGGTTCCGAACTCGCTGCCTCATGCCTGACAAGCGGTATCTGGAGAAGGGAGTGGATGGTTTTTAGCCAGTAAGGGTCTGATACTATTTCTTCCTTACCCCAGAAGCAACTTGATGATAACAGCCCAAGAAAAAAAATGGGATGCTTCGATATTACCAAGTGATAAAACTCTAACCGCTTCAAACAGACAATTGACAATATTTAATTCAATAGTATTTAAGTCTTCAAAGAAGTCATTATTATTTTAATTTTCTTTTGATTACATAACTCAATATGTTACAATCAAGTATAATGTATCTAAATCAACTACGTTTACACTGAAGACAGGTGTTCGTTCTCACACAATCAAAGGCTTAAAGAGAAAAAGGTAAAATGAATCATTTAAAAATAATTCTTTCAATAAAGCCGAGTTGTTTGTTTCGTCAATTCTTTTAAACTATGTGTTGTTATTTCAGTTTTCTATTATTATTTTACTCGAGCAACTTTTTATATTTTTATTTAAAGGTATTTTCTGTCTTTAGGTATATCAAAATATTCGACTAGACTTTTATAAAATTAATCCGTTTGGTTTGTTTAAAAGCCTATTGATAAATTTTGATTTCAATTAAAAATTAACACCAAACCCCAAGCGCACGCGCACCTATTGTTCTTCTATTGTGTCTTGAATTACCAAGATTAAATGTTAATCATTCATAACATATTAAAAAAAACATTCAACAATTACAATTCGGTAGTTTACCCAGTTGAAATTATTTCAACTAACAAAACCAATATGTATGTGGTGGTGGCCCGGAGGTTAAGCAGCCCGCTTCTAATGCATGAGGGTGTGGGTTCAAAACCTGGCAAGTACCAATGTGACTTCTTTCAGAGTTATATGTACTTTCTATGATTATTTAGACACCACTGACATACGGTGAAGGTAAACATCGTGAGGAAGCCTGGACTTATAATTTCTAATTATAAGTTTGAAATCGCCAACTCGCATTGAGCAAGCGTGGTGATTAATTCTCAAACCTTCTCCGTATGAGAAGAGGCCTTTGCTCAGCAGTGGGCATTTATAGGCTGATGATGATGATGATGACAAAATCAAGCCAATCAATCATTCATTGAATTTATTAGAGCCTCAAAAACATCAATAATAATTTAATGTTTTTCATCAGGACTTTAGCAGTATGGAACCAGTCAAACAGTCACCCTCTGTTCACGGAGTCAGATGCTCGCTACCATCAGATCGCGCTCACCAAGATGAGGAGACTCCTGTACTTCATCTGCGGCATGACTGTGCTGTCTGTTGTTTGTAAGTAGAACTTTATTAATAATAATTAAAAAGTGATTCAAACTAACCATTTTTGAAGTCACTTTTTTGTGAAATACGTCGGCTAACGAGCGAACATATTACCTGATGGTAAGTAACAGGCGTCGTCAATGGATACTCGCAACACCAAAAGAGTTACGAGTGCGTTGCCGGCCTTTTGGCGATTATAAAAATACTGTCTAGAAATCAGACACGAATAAAAAAGGGGTAAAACAATATGAAGAATTTAGTATTTTATTATCTGGAAGTTTTATAAATTACTACAGTGTACAAAACCTAATTTAATTCAAACATAACACCATAAAACTGACCTACTAGGAGTGCATGAAACATTAAAGCATCGAAATGATATCTCAAGCATTCAGTGGTCATGCAATGCCCTATTCACGCTCTAATGTATGTAGGTACCTGTTTGTAAGTCAAGCTTTGCTACATTAGGTGCACAGAGACTGTTATGTACTAGGCAAACATACTGCGGCAGGATCTTGCTTGTTACGCTACGTTTATTCTGATTTAGTGGACCATTCTATTATTAGGAGATAGTACATATAGTGTGTGAGCTTATTTAGCTGGCAATGTGGCTTTATTGTTTTGTTTGAGAGTAATTTTTCTTAAGGAATTCTTCGCAGAGCGGTATAATTTTATTTTATAGTTGCTTATTGCCATCATAACTAATAATGTTTTTATAAACAGCTTAGTTTGATAACTTGAAGAGTATTAGCGTATTATTTGTGCAAATTATAAAATTGTGTCCCACGTTGGGCGCCAATTTAAACCAACTAACCTTGTAATACTTTCTGCATCAAAAAACATTATCTATTCCAACACAAAATAAACACTAAAAAGCTACACGATGGTCTTACCTGCCATGTTACTGTATAACATATGGGCCTCAAGAGGCCACCATCTGTCTTGCGCTGCTCAAAGTGAACTCTTTTACCTTTCGTTAAAAATTTAAACACACCTCTTGTGTTTTCTGCGATCCTAATGACCTTTGTACCCTCGTTATTTTAAGATGCTCTCATTACTTTAGAAGTTTTAATAATTGAAAAGAAAATAATGGATTGGGATGGATAGATGTAGAAATTTTTTGTTGATTTGAGCATTACGGTAATCTGGGGTTCCATCTCTATAGGCATTTTATTTAATTTTTTGAAAATAATAGGAGTAAAAAATGGATGTAGAACTTTGTTTTAACTACCTATTCGTATTTTTTTTCTTAGGCTGGGTAACGTTAACGTTCTTTGGCGAATCAGTCCGCCTGATTACAAGCAAGGAAACCAATGAAACACTGACAGAAGTAGCTCCTCGACTACCTCTGAAAGCCTGGTACCCATTCAACGCTATGAGCGGCACTATGTACATCATAGCTTTCGCATTTCAAGTAAGTTATTAAAAATTCTTTTTACTGGATAAAAACGGGCTCACCTGATGGTAAGCAATCAATATCAGGTCCAGCGTTGGAGACCAGAAGATTTACAGTGCATTTTAGTGGACTAGTTTTTTATTATGGATAGTCCATTTATTGAGGGGTGCTATAAGCTATAAAATAGCATGTTATGACTAATATTTGCCGGATAGAGGGTAAAATAGCACGGGTTTTATAAAAGACAGACAGCGCTGGCATCTTTACGATTCGAAATTTACTTTTAGAATTTTATTCGCCTATATCGTAACACTAGCGGACTGCCCCGGCTCTGCACAGGTGTAATGCGGATACTAATTTTCCTCACAATTTGATGGATATTATTTTCTTATAAACCTGCCTCTTCAGTCTGCATGAAAATCCGCTGCGTAGTTTTAATGATTTAAGCATGCGTAGGGATATAGGGACAGAGAAAGCGACTTTGTTTTAATAGGTCTTTACCTAAGAAATTGCCGTTCTGCAGTACTGGCAATTTCAAATCAAAATAGTTTTTGTTAGGCTAAGGCTAATTAATTTTGTTTTAAGAACATGGGATTCTTTTTCCAAAAGTAGTCATTTATTATAGAAGATTAGTGTTACATTTTCATCGCATTTCAAATCAAAAAATTCGTTTAAATTTTTTCATGCAAAACGGCAATTTCATAGGTAAAGACCTATTATATCATTTGTAGTGATAATCCTTAGTAAAAGAATATAAGAAAGAATAATCCTTCGTCATGGAACACAAAATTAGAAACACAAAATATCTTTCTTAAAAAAATATTTTGCAGGTCTACTGGCTTCTCTTCTCAATGGCCATAGCCAACTTGATGGACGTCATGTTCTGCTCCTGGCTGATCTTTGCATGTGAACAGCTGCAGCATCTGAAGGCTATAATGAAACCCCTCATGGAACTTAGTGCTTCGCTGGACACGTATAGGCCTAACACTGCTGAGCTGTTCCGTGCTTCTTCTACGGGTAAGACTAGTAAACATTGCGAAGTCAATATTTTACTAAAGTATTCTTGGTAGAAGTTAGAGGCATAGTATAGTTAGAGAAACTAAATGGCTTGGTAACTGTTCGAATCGGGGATCCACTTCCTAAGACGAATAGACAATTTATTTGACTCAAACAAAAAATGCTTGAAATGTAGGTAGTTAGAGATCTTTATTTGCATTCAAAACTAACCGTTCTCAATAAATCTGAAAAAAATGTAAATTCAATTTTGCATTACCTATTTTACTGTAGAGATAGAAATATATCATTAAGATTTTAGTCAGATAATGTTAACTGAGTAATAATAAAATTGTTGCTGTCACTGTCTTATACAAACATTCTGACGCGACAGCGTTATAATAACAATTCCCCAGATAACTTTTATCTAACCATTGAAAAATCAGCCCTTATTATATTAAAAACACTCAAAAATTTAACAGAATTTTGGCCAAATCTTGATAGATTTGGCCAAAATTCGTATCTCTATTTAGTTTGACTGATGTCAAACTAAATAGAGATACGATTGTTCCTTACTTCCTTTTAAATTCATTCCTGATCAACAGAGAAGTCAGAAAAGATTCCTGATACGGTTGACATGGACATCCGCGGCATATACTCTACGCAGCAAGACTTTGGAATGACGTTGCGAGGAGCTGGTGGTAGACTGCAGAACTTTGGGCAGCAGAACAACAATCCTAATGGCTTGACTCCGAAACAGGAGATGTTGGCGAGGTCTGCCATCAAATATTGGGTGGAAAGGCACAAACACGTTGTCAGGTGAGAATATAGTTTTTTAGTCGGTAAGAGACACTTCCTCTCGCCTTACCCAGGGTAAAAGACGTCGATAGATGATATTACCCCCTAAAAAGAACGAATTTTGTTTACTTTTAATCGGCGTCTTTGCTCAAGTCAATTGTTACAAGCGGAAACCAATTGAATTCTTGACTTAAGTAGAATATTCTTTTGTTTGCCAAAGTTCTTTAGCTTTCTTCTAAAGATTTTAGGATGTTGTGTGGTTATAGATTAGCCCTCTTTTACTTGAGACACACGAGCTGGTAGAAAAGTAAGTGTTACAGTATTGATACTTTTCCCTACAGAGGCACTCTAAGTAGACTTCTGTTTCTTCTTTTCTTTATTTGTTTTTGTGAGGGTTAAGATGTCAAATGACTTCTGTCACCCCTGGGCGAAGAAAGCAGATGAACTTAGAAGACTCTTACTGGTTAAAAACCCACCTCAAGGCTTTAAGTATCTTTTGCAAATCTTCTCATAAAATATGTATATAAGAGTACTAGTCTTTTGACAGAAATGGATGAAAATCTATATTTAATAAGAAATAATATCCAAAGATATTAATAGAATATAATTGGCCTCTCTAATTGGTCTTAATAGACCCTTTACAACCACAAACGTACAAACTATTCTCCCGAGCTCTATAATCTGTGGTTAGAAGTCATTTCCACTTCGGAAAACTTCGTCTAACTTCGGAAAACTTCGTGTTTGAAGTTGGAACTTCAGAATATGCTATAATTTGAATTTAAAATTCGTTTGAGATATCAAGAAATGGCTTCGGTATGAATCTTAATTGAGTTTAAGTGGAGTTTGTATAGTTAGTAAATGGTTTAGAAGTTAGATAGATATTATTGTTTATTTCTAACTAAATAGTTTAATTATAGACTCAATACAGTATTGTGTAAGAAAGTTTTAAAACTTTTTTTTGCATTAAAAAGTTTTGTGGATTCCAAGAAACGTTTACAAATATAAGAATCGTGTGACTAAATGTAGCTATTTTTGAAAGCCCTTAGCTACGCTGTTACGTTTTCGGTGTATAAAATAGGCTCTGTTGTACATATTTGGATTGCAAATCTGTATCTACTACTACTAATATTATAAAGAGGTAAAATTTGTAAGTTTTTAAGTTTGTATGTAGGGTGTAATCTTTGGAACCATTAGTCCGATTGCCAAAATTCTTTCACTGATAGATAGCTACAATTTTCCTGAGTCCTATAGGCTACAAAACATCACGCTACAATCAAATGGACCCGATCAGCGGGTAAACTCGCATGTAAATAAAACTCGATAAACTAAACTTTGAAAATTTATTTTTGCTTTGGTAACTTTTTGCTGTTCTAGTGCTCGAATGTGTTTTTAAGTGCGATACTCGTAAATAACTGAATTCGATTTCATTTTTTTTTAAATCTTAGTTTGGTTCTTTCGCAGAGAAAATAAAAGACTGGTGTAAGGTAGAACAGGCACAGATTCTTCCTTAATAAACTCAATTGGTTTTTGATTAAAAAAAAAACTATCGGTATTATATACCCCTACTCCATGACCATGTTACTAACTTGTTTTGCGGTTATTAAGCCTGTTTTGCATTTATATTTTTTTGTTATCTTCTCTTAATTCTAGTATGTATTTTGATAGCCCTTTTTTATTGTGCTGATAGATGGAGTTTTAATGATATTTATTTTATTTACTGTTTTCTTTTTACTTACCGCTCCTCTTAAATCGATGCTTATTAAATACAATTTTCCTTCTTACTTTCATCCATGTCTTCTTTCCAGGTTGGTGGCTTCCATAGGTGACACGTATGGTACTGCACTATTGTTCCACATGTTGGTGTCAACCATCACACTTACTCTACTGGCTTACCAGGCTACGAAGGTAAGCAGTATCTATATCTTAATTAATAAACTTAAAAAGTTGTTGACATTACTGTCAAAAATAATTCCAGTCCGTCCTAGAACTGTGACTTTATAAAAACACCTAACCTGTTGAATAAGAATGGCAAGGTGTGAAAGTTTAAAATCTTGGTTTATACTTATATTAATCTATTTATATTTTTTTACGTCAGTTAAGTAATGAAAAAAAATATTGGACAAGTATGCCGTTGCTGTTTATAAATAATTTATAAAAAATAATGGTTCTATTGATTTAATGATATTTTTTACACTTAGATTAAAAAAATATTTGTTTTAAGTATAGGGTCACTGCGTTACAGTTTATTATCTAGTATATCAGTTACTATAAAGTAGAAAATATTGACATCTCGTGAAGTTTCAAATCAATAAACTGTCAAAAGTGCTTATTTCTGTAGCAAAAGAACAAAAAAATGATTGCTAATGTTGTAATTAGGGTACCAGACGTTCTTCTTTAGAAACAACGACTGTCGCAACCGAGGGCCGGGCACGCTACCATAGCAGCGATAAGACCCCTCTTTGAGGAGTGGCTTGAGAGACGCCACGGCGTCCTCACCTTCCGTCTGACGCAGGTGCTTACCGGGCACGGCAGCTTCGGTAGGTTCCTGTTTCGGATTCAGCGGGAGGAAACGCCCGAGTGTCGTCATTGTGAGGACCACCTAGAGGATACGGTGGAGCATACGGTAGCGGTATGCCCTGCCTGGGCTGAGCACCGCCGTATCCTCAGGGAAGTGATCGGCGGCGGCGACCTCTCGCGCCCGGCCTTAGTCGAGGCCATGGTGCGGAGTGAGAGGAACTGGGACGCCGTCTCCTCCTTTTGTGAAGCAGTCATGCTCGCAAAGAGAGAGGCGGCCCGCGTGAGGGAGCAATCCTCCTCCTCACGCCCCAGCAGCCGCAACTGGCGACACTACGGGCGTCGGGGATCGAGGGACGATCTCCGGCCACCGTAAGTACGGGCCTGCGGTCGGCGAGTAAGGGCAGCTCGCCGCCCGACCAGAACCAGGCCCGAGCGTACGGCGCGTAGCGTTCCGCGCGCGCCTCAAAGAGCCATTCGACCACCACAGACGGGGCCCTAAAGGGCTGATGTTCAGCCGGGGTTGCGGGGTAAGCGCAATGAGGTACCGCGACCTCGGCACAGAGCAGGAGAAGGAACAGGGGGGTTTTTAGTCAGTAAGAGTCTGACACTCCCTCCTGCCCGGCCCTGGGCGGGAGAAGTCATTTGATGATTTTCCCCTCACAAAAAAAAAAGACGTTCTTTGCTAAGTAATAGCACATAATTATTTGCAACTAGCTTCCGCCAGCTGTTTTGCTCGCGTGCTGTGTTGATAAAAAGCAGCCTTAGCAATAGAACAAAATCGAAGTGAACATACAGACAGACAGACAGACAGACAGACAAAAATTTTACTGATTGCATTTTTGGCATGAGTATCAATCACTTATCACCCCCTGGTAGTTATTTTGAAAATATATTTAATGTACAGAATTGACCTCTCTACAGATTTATAATAAGTATAGATTATTTGAACAATGGCCCCATAAGACGGTATGCACCATAAGTCACCATTCTAAATATCATTATCAAAATTTTCTTTTTCCCATAAAACCTTCCCAATAATTTACCAATCTAACCTACGAGTATGATCCTGAACATTTTCTTTGACAAATGTAAAAATATTGCCCGTCATTTATGTTATCGCTTTGCGTGATCGGATCCAGACCAATATCAAAAGATCATTAATCATTTTTACGAACGAATGATGCGGATGATCCAATAATAACAACGTTGCCCAGAAAATTGGCCATCATCTGTTTTGTTATGTTCACCCCTGAATAAACCTTAAGTATTTATTGAAAATAGCGACTTATTCGCTTGAATTAACTGAGAAAATCCTACTAGTTTGAAGTCGCAATGTGACTCTTAGTCATGAGCAGCGTACGCGCCACGGCACCGTCACCTAAACAGATTGAAAAAGAGTAACCATGGAGTTTTGCTCGTTCTTCTCAAATAAACAAATAGCTCCACTAGAGGACAGAGGGACAGACTCACACGAATTAATTTAAACCTATTGAAAGATATTTTCTTTTTCTTTTTCTTTTTTGATTGAAGTTCAAAAGTGTCCACTGTGTCCTTATTGAGATAAATGATTTTTGACTTTTGACTTTGACTTAACCTACTGAGTATCCAGTCTTGAGTAGTCAGTCGGTTAAAACTAGTAGAGCTTTTCTCAGTGTGTTTTTCATGAGTCAGTCGTAATTTCAATAAATTGACTAACGGTAAAACGGGATAATTAGAATTCGAGGGGTAAATAGACACGGAAGAGGGGTGAATAGATACTAGGAAATTTGGGAATTGGGGATGATAGATTTGGAAATTGGAGATCTCCGATAAACTCAATCACTTATCAAAAAACAAGGCAAGCGTTCTTTTATATGGGTTTTTTGTGAAGGCTCTTTCGTGATAAGCCCTTTCCATAATTATGTTCTATTTAGTGCCTAAATCGGTTCCTTCGTCGATTTTATCCATTGTACATAAATTGCATTCTCTTTCAGATTAACGGAATCAATGTATATGCGTTCAGTACTATTGGCTACCTCAGCTATACTTTGGGACAGGTGTTCCATTTCTGTATCTTTGGGAACAGGCTCATTGAAGAGGTCAGTAGCGTTTTATCATAGGATATAGTAATATCACCCATTTATTTGATGCCTTATGAGTCATTTTCCTTGTTTCTTTGTCTGACAACAACGCTTATTCTTTTTTACCCTTCTTGCGTTTTGCATCTTTTAAGTGTCATTCTCAATTAATGTTATGTTTATATGTGCTTATCAACATAATTGTCTGCGCCCTTGGCAGAGCAACATTCATCTCGTCATGGGCTTTTTTAGCAGCACTGTGCTGCTCATAAATTTGTGCCCCCAGCGTGGCGTAAGGTCGGGGCCCTATAGGGCTGATGTTCAACCGGAGTTGTGGGATAAGCGCAATGAGTCACCGCAGCCTCGGCCTAGAACAGGAGAAGGAATGGGGGGCGGAGTGGTTTTAGTCAGTAAGTCTGACACTCCCTCTCGCCCGATCCTGGGTGTGATAAGTCATTTCATGATTTTGCCTTCACAAAAGCGTGGCGTAAAGTAAGTCTTTATAAATGTTAATTCATTTAAATATTTGTCTTTCTTCCAGAGTTCTTCAGTGATGGAAGCTGCTTACTCCTGCCAGTGGTACGACGGCTCCGAGGAAGCTAAGACTTTTGTCCAGATCGTGTGTCAGCAGTGCCAGAAAGCCATGAGCATTTCCGGAGCCAAGTTCTTTACAGTGTCACTTGATCTTTTTGCTTCGGTGCGTATAAAATGACTATAATTCAAATGCTTCTTCTTCTTCTTTATCCTATAATTCTGCTTTTAATACTAATTGCGAAAATATGAATATTAATATTAAATTCCCTTCGGAATAATATATCCTTTTCAATGTGTTTTATGTTGTGATGTGGGATATGTGGGAGTGTATTATCCTTTTGGAGGTTTAAAGGATTAGGGATTTTGGGTTGAAGGAAGAGGGAGGATTGGGCCTACGGTAACCTCACTCACATGTCAAAGACAAGTTGTGTTTCACGCCGGGTTTTCTGTGATCCGTGGTATCACTCCTGTGGAGACGGTCGAAAATATATTTCTGTATTAATTTATTTTGTATCATAATAAGTTTGGACAACAATGGCACAATTGTTATGATTATTAAAAATAACTTATTTTATTTTAATTTTTTTGTTATTTCAGGTACTTGGTGCTGTAGTAACTTACTTCATGGTGTTGGTACAGCTCAAGTAAAACAGAGACAAACGGATTTCGCTACTATGTCGAACTACTTACAGTATATTTTTGAATGTATTGTTATACCGTTTAGGTGGGCTACTCAGAATCCTATGTAAAAAACATAATAAAGAGATGATTTTTATATATAAAATTGAAAAACAATTTATTTTAATCAATCTCGATTGAAATCTATAAAACATTTTTTCATATAAAATTTATGTAATAATGGTTTTTTTACAACACAGAACATGAATAAGCATTGCTTCTACGGAAAAACAAAATAAATTATTTACATATTTTTCAGTACAAAATCTTAACGTAACTAAGGGCTGATTTTTCAATGGTTAGATAAAAGTTGTCTGCGGAATAATTATGCTGCTGTCGCGTCAGAATGTTTGTATAAGACAGTGACAGCAACAATTTTATTCCTCACATAAGATTTATCTGAGTATTGAAAAATCAGCTCTTAATGGACAATAACTTATTAGTATTGTCCAGAAGAAAAAAAAATGGCCGTGAATTAATTTAATCCTTTCTGATATATAAATTGATATCTTAAATTTAAGATAAGATTATTGATACAATTCTAGTAGCGAGCTTCTTAAAAAGTAGTTGCGCAAAGTTATATTTAAAGGATATTTTATTATATAGATAGTATTAATTTTTTATAAGAATAAATCTTTATATAATATTTTTATGCACCTAATATTTTAAAACTATTTACAAATAAAATAAATATTTAATAAAAGAACTATTTATTAATCTATGTACATAAAGTTTTCTTCTTTGTATTAATGTAAATTATTTATTTTAAAAATGTATAATTATGTACAACTTATAGAGAAGGATGAAGATAAATGTAGAAAAATAAAGAAGCATAATTTATTTTTTAAATACAATTTATAAACGTGTTACATTTAATAAAATAAATAGTTGTCACCCTGTACATGTAGGTGTGTTTATTTTATTTTAATAAACTTCTTTAAAAAGGTGTTTTTTTATTTTGACAAATCTTACATTATGTAAGTTCATACATATTATACATTTGTAATACATTTGTAAATAAACGTAGCTCCACACTAGGGTTTTCTCCTGCGCCGTGGATGTGTTTACAAACATACGATTTCACGAAAACATCACACCACATTGAGTTGGTCAGTGCGAGATCCCACGATAGGGTAGGTTAGCCTAGCCACCAGAGCAGTGTGATTCTGTAAGACTTTATTCTAAACTTCGAATCTGAATCTGCTGTAAGTAGGTAGTACACTAGCGCTACAATTATACACACAAGATTCAAAATAAAACAAATTTTATAGAATCGACGTGCTGTTCGACATCGACCATCTTGTTCGAGTGTGAAGTGAGCATCAAAGTGACGGGGAAATTATATTAAATGCCACTTTTAACGTCGTCTCATGCTTTATCTATCAAAATGTTGCTGTCAATTTAGTTCAACTCGCAAGTGTAGCGCTAGTGTAGTACTACTCACAGCGGATTCAGATTCGAAGTTTAGAATTTTGTCTTACAGAATCACACTGCAGCAGGCTTACTCTTCATTACAATTCCGATCGATCGACATTGGAATTTTGACCGTTTCGTAATCTTGAATTCAACACTAGCGCCAAATTGTTTTAATATTGTGTGGCCATTTTGGGGAACTAAATAGGATTGGGATCGGTATTGGCTGAGCAGTTAACTGTACTCTTGAGTTTGTTTTGGCAGTTGAGTATTGCGGCAATAATATGTAAGTATTGTTTGTTGATTGTGAATTTTTCAATAACGAAAGTGTAACTTTTTAGGATTTGTTTTACGTTAAACGTGTTTTTGATTACATAGTAAGCTTATAACATGGCTAAATTAGTACTAATGCACAATAATTTACTTAAATCGCGTAAAAAATAATTGAAACAAAGACGCACTGAGCGTCGAATGATGCGATATACCGACAAAGCGTTTTCTATGCCTGAAGACGAATGTAAAACAAATTACCGAGTGAGCAAGGATTTGCAACGTGTCGCGGGTTCGATTCCCGCACGGAATAACTCTTTGTGTGATCCAAAAATGGTTTTTCCGGGTCTGGGTGTGTGTGTGTATTTATGTGAAATTGTATAATGTGTGTTGCACTTACGATACAGGGAAAAATCCTAGTGTTGGGCAAAGATTAAAAAAAAAGAAGAATGTATGTATCATAAAAAATACTCATACATTTTTCTTTTAAATAAAATCAGCCAGCAAGCTCTTAATATGTTTTTTCTTTATAATACATTTATCTGAATATGAAATCAACTAACTTAGTTTTAATTTTCTTTGAACCTCGAGTATATTTATTAAAGTAAAATCCATAATTCATCATTGACCCAGCTATCTAAGTCAACAGAGGACAACGTGAGGTCAGTCCTCAGAGAATAACTCTAATTTTGTTTCCACGGTACGTTGTAAAGACTCAAAGATTAAAGAAATCATGGATATGCCAAAAAACTAGGAGATTGAGTGTTTCTAGTAATAGTCTTTGTCATGGTTACTGCATTTTTTTTGCAAATTTACTGATTGGTAAACGGATTATGGGTTACTTGATGGTAAGCAATTGGCACCGCCCATGAGAATTCGCAACACCTTAATAGTTGCAAGTGCGTTGCCAACTTTTAGAGCATGGGGGCTATTTCAAAACGGTCAAGTAGTTTCGGAGCCTGTTCAATGAAAAAAAAACATTAAATGTTAGGGAAAATATGACTCGACGAGCGCTCGGAATGCGCTCGTCGAGTCAACATCTCCTGAGGATGCCCTGTGGAGGGGCGAAACACGTGTCGAGTATAGGTTTGATTGTGTGCATATGCATGTGGGCGGGAGGGTGGGACCCTTGCTGCATGTGCATATGCATGATTGCATAGGAGTGGGATTGCATCCTGCAACAAGCCTGGATTTTTGTCGCGGAATTAAAACTAAATATTTTCCCTAACATTTAATGTCATGGATTTCCGCAAAGTAACGCCTGATTCTATAAATTATTGAAAAAAAAACATACAGATCTTTCCTTTATTAAATAAATTATTCTAGGTATGTATATTTTTGCTTGAAATATTATTAATTAATTTATAAGCATTATGATAATTTGTGTAAATAATCTGTCAATATGTCTGCCAAGTTTTCTTTTTCAAAATTCAGCTAGAGGACAGGATAATGAAATAAAGCACCTGTATAACATTTCACAAATGACGCCATATCCATTATTTTTCAAATCAGCGTTTCAAATCGCATTCCGTAACGAGCTTTTAAATCTTTTACTTTTCTGTTTGAAGCTTGCAAGGACTGTATGTACGTGAGTTGTAGTGTTAGTGTACTACCTACTTATACACAATAAGGTATATACCTTCTTTTTTTGAGAGATTATTGAATGACTTCCCTCGCCCTTAATGAATCGAGATGGAGTGTCAGACTCTTACTGACTAAAAACTACTCCGTTCCTTCGCCAGTTCCGCTCTGGGCTCGCCAGTACATTATTGCGCTTGGAGTTGAAACCCTAACTTATCATCAGCCCTATTGAGCCCACCTATGGTGGTCTTTTTTTATTGGGACAAATCCGCCTCACAAAACTCCTGTAACTCCTGTAAGCCAGGATCTACAGTAGCTATATGTACTATGGTGTTCTGTTGGCCCTTTGAGGCGCGCACGGATCGTAACGCTCATGTTTGGTTCTGATTAGGTGGCGAGCTACCCTTGTTACTCGTACTTACCGTGGCCAGAGGTTGTAGCACGATCTTCAATACTCGCAGTACTGCGGCGGCCGGGCCGTGAGGATGACAGTTTTCTCAGGCGCTCCGTCTCCTTCTTTGCCATGACTGTTTCGCCAAAAAAATAAAGAGAGAAATAATAAATAATTATAACATATAAATAGACCTGGTAGAGATCGCTTTTAGCGATAAGGCCGCCTTTGTACCAAGTACTTTGGATTCACTCATTTTGTACTAAGCATGTAAACTTTTTTGGTGTACAATAAAGTGTATTTATTATTTATTATTATTTATTATAAATAAAATAAAAAAATGAGACGTATAATTACTGTGTAATTTCAACGATGGAATTGGAGATATTGAAGAAAAACAACATTTTATTAAGCGGGTATTAAGGCGTTAACTTCCTTGGAAGGCTTGACGTTGTGACCCGGTGGCACAGGTCGTGGTCGCAAGCAGTCTTAAAAATTTGAAAAAAATAAGAAAAGATAAATATTATTCGTAGTAAAATATAGTCAGAATAATATTTAGTAAATTCTTATGAAATAAATACTCTGCGGTTTTAATTTCCGTACACCATTAAAATAAACATTGTTATGACGTTTCAAGTGGCTAGGTTTACGAGTGGCTCGCGGTTTGTAGCTCCGCAATAATTGCTTCAACGCTTTTAATGGCGTCACCACGTATTTTCCTGGTTTTCCCAGAAATTTACTTTGTCGTTACTGTAATATTTTGGTCAACTTTTTGCTAATTAGGACGCAATTGAATTGTGTATTATAAATGGTGGTGTAGATAAAATAAATAAATGTAGGTACTCGTTATTAATTTTAAAACATTGTTACATAAATATTATATTATTATATCATCGTACATTTTAATGTTGGAAGGACAGGTGTTCATTTTCATCTAAAAATGTAATCAGCCCGGGGTTGCAAGCGTTATAATATAAGCGACCTGGAGCGGGACAAAGCACGGGGGCATTTTAGTCTTACTGACTGAGTCTGACATTCTCTCTCGCAGGTAGTTTTTAGTCAGTAAGTGACTGACACTCCCTCTAGTCGCATCCAGGATAAAAGAAATCTTTTGATGATTTACCCCTCAAAAAATCACGCCTAACCTATGCATTTCCCCTTTAAAATTCACATAGACGTATAGACGCTACAAAATTTCTAACTCCCTGGTACTGTGAAATAAATTTAATTGGATTTTTTCTGAGACCCCTTGCTCAACTCAAGGTTGTATCTAACAAAGCAGTTAAAAGCCATTTACCGAAATATTACCAAAAAT